TAATACTAAAATGAAAAGAATAAAAAAAAATAGTTTAAATACACGAGAACTTTAGTTTACCTATATAATTTTGTATAATTTACATAGAATATTCTTCATATTAACAGACATAATAAAAAGGCTTGTCTTTAGATGTGTCAGTAGGTTAAAAGTGGTTTTTCCTGAAATAGAAATAGTCTGCTTACAGTATTTACACTTTGCCTTGATGTGACCAGATCTATCAGTAGGAAGTATGAAGTGTTCATGTATCATTGGAGGTAGTTTAGTTGCCATCTCAAATTTTCTCAAATGACTTGATTGAATTAATAACTATGTAATACAATAACTTTTAAGGGAGTAGGAGAGTATTGACCTGATTTAACATGCTGTGGCTGTAATAATAGCAGTCTAGTAATTGGATGAATACAAAAGCTGACACTTACTTATACAATATTAAGTATTCACTAACTTATTAACCCTTTTGCTATAGGCTCGGTATAAAATACACAAGTTTGTATACATATTTGAACATATTAAGTATTTACACTAACTTTGAATGTAGTATATGTATCTTCACAAAATTTGGTAGACAATAAACATCAAGTATACAAAAAATCACATTTTAAAATGAAGTAATTTTACTATGTATTTGTTTGTGTATAAATCATGTATGTTTCGTTACTAGTCCGAGTGCTAAGTGATTTCCATGTTATGATTTTAAAAAAGTATTCTTTGTTCCAAAAAATCTCGAATATCATTTGTGTGATCTTTATAACCTCCTAAGTACATTTCAAATTATTGTTTTATGTTATCTGTTATTTTCTCTACCCTAACTCTATATGGGGTCTGTCAATTTGACTGACCTCGTAACCACCATAAAAAAACAAACAACAGAAATACATACAAGTTATGCTTTTTTTGTTCTAGAATGGCTGCAAATTATGACACAAAAATACAATTGTTTAGTATAAATCGCTAAATCTTGTAATAGTATACATTTTCTATTATATTGACCTTTTCAGCCATACCTGGCTAACATTAGAGAAGTTGCATTGATGTTGTGAACATGCACTCATGCCGCATCCAAGAATATAAAACTGACCTTTACAAAGTGTGTGTTTTGGTGGACTAGTATTTTGTAAAATAGTCATTTCAGTTAT